TAAAATCACTCCAGAATATGAAAATGGCGTCGAGTAGAGCGTCCAGTCTCTACACGGAGGAGCCACTCACAGTTATGTTGTAATTTAACATTGCTCGAGCCATTAGTTATATTAAGTATTTATGTATGTTTTCATATAGTCTCTAAAGTGTTACAACCGGCCCTTTGAGTGCCAACCATAATGCTGATTGGCCCCGCTGATGAAATTGAGTTTGACACCCTGGTCAAGTCAATCGGACTGTAAAAACACAAAAATATAAATTTTGCAAACCTGAAGAGTCAGTGCCTCACCGCCATGAACCTCACTGCAGAGCTTATAGAGGCACGATCCAACGATGTTTTGTGATTAGCCCCACCACTCATGGGTACACAAATTATTATTATAGAGACACGACTCACAGTCGCCGACTATGACTTAATTGCTAAAACACTCTCAATTTAATACAGAGAACGCCACAACCCCCTGGCTTGTTTTTATGATGACTTGTAGAATCTGTCCGAACTGCAATATATATGCAAGCCTCTCATTAGACACTGCGTTATTAATGTAATTTTTATATAATAATAAAGTATTTCATGTGAAACTAATATTAAACTGTATAGATAGCTACACGGTGAAGGTATGACACATCACATTAGATACAGACACAACCAAAGAATTTACTGGCACTTTTCCTGTCTTTTTCATATCCTTTTCTTAAATAAGAGTTATCCTGTTTTTGTGCCTCTATGTTTAATTTTAATAATATAAATTACATGGCCACTTGTTAGACGTTTATCCAAAAGCCACTTGCATACATTACAGTACTGTGGACAACACACGCGGCAAGACAGGAGCAATGTGGGGTGAAGATGACAGGGACAACAACGACATGCCTGACCTGCCAGCGCGGCTCGCTAACTTGCTGCCTCTGATTCGGACAGAGATCAGCCGCACTTACCCACAGAGAAAATTATACTTTTTATATATTTCTAAAAATACATTATGTTTACAAATGAATTTAAACCGTCCATATTAAACTACAGAAGAGAAACAGCCTCCATGTGACACATCGCACATTTCACAACGCAAATGTCACTTAACGTCCACTGTTCAAATAAACTAATATACATAATAATAAGGAAAGCTTAAACTACAAAACGGTTTTCTAACGAACTCTATTCTTAAAAAAGGCGACACACAAAGGCGCGTTCACACCCCGACGTACTTTTCCCGTTATCTGTTCATGGATTTGCGTTCACACCAAAAAGAGAACTTAGTTTCCGAGAACTTTTACCCCCATGTTTAGTGCTGCAGAGAGGTGGACTTCCTGAGGGAAAAAGTAACCAATTTTCATTGGCCGGAGCGGATTGTACCCCCACCACGCCCCGTAAAACTTCGAAAAGTTTTGTTGAAGCCTGCCATTGTATTTGCTGGATTAGCATTAGCCCCGCGCAACCGAACGGAGAGAGACTGGAAGGTTGGCAACACAAAAGAAACACATGCCGGGCGCGCCTGGAACCAGGCGGTCGTCGCGTTCTGGCGATTTACTGGGAAGGCCTTTCAGTAAAGCTGCCTGGGAGTCCCCGGAGCACGCTGGAATATGAGGAAACTGAACTGGCGGGTCCGCTTCTCCAGCTTGCACGCGGTTTGATTGGCTGCGGTTGCACTGTGTGGGATTTGCCATAAACGGGCTTTGGATTGCGCTGATACCAGAGCATCGAGCATCAAAGTAAACCATTGTTCAACTTTTGATGCCGATAGATGCTCGTGATGCTTGCACAAGCCATGCCATGCTCCCCACAATGAAGTTCGGCGAAGATTAAAAATCTTCTACGTCAGCCCATTCAAGTGAATGGGCGAAGCGTTGAAAGCATTTTTCGATGCCTTTAGTGTAGACGGGCCGTTAGTTCCATGGGGGTACTAAGTGCTGGGTACTAAGTGCTGGGAGCTAAGTGCTGGGAACTAAGTGCTGGGAACTAAGTACGTCAAAGTACTTGGTGTGAAAGCGGCCGAGGACACCGTTCAATTAGTTAAATATTCTGAGAGGTCAAAGCAACAGAACATGATACAAACATATCATCATGGAGAAGAGAATTAAAGTGGACACAAATGATAGGAACAGGTTATTCAGGGGAAACAATCCTGTCATGCTTTACTCTTCTATCACTGAACCCCTCTCTGTGGCTCTTCGTCAGGCTGAGGATGAGGAGGGGTACCGTAAGCTGATCGATCAGAAGAAGGACAAGCGGCTGGCCTACCTGCTGCAGCAGACGGACGAGTACGTGGCCAACCTCACGGACCTGGTGCGCGCTCACAAGGCCGTGCAGGCGCTCAAAGAGAAGAAGAAGAAGAAGAAGAAAAAGAAGGTACGGTTTAGGAGACTGTGTGAGGCATTTCTCCAGCAGTTTGAATCCAACATGGACTTAAATCTTGTTTTCCTCATATTTTCAGAAGCCAGAGCCTGTGGAGGGAGGTGGTCTGGGACCAGATGGAGAGGTGAGTCTGGAATGGGGTTATTACTTCATTTTGTTATGTAATCATAGTCCTTTTCTTTAAATGTCCTTGCTACTTCTTAGTAAGTTAAGATTGTTTTAGTTTAATTAAAGGTCACCTATCATGCTATTTTTAGGCAATAGCATAGGTCTCAGATATATTAAAAAATATATAAAAAACATGTCTATGAAGTGTTTTGCTCAAAATACCAAACAGATCACCCATTCTAGCCATGCCTCATATCCCTCTATTTCACTTCCTGTTTCAAAAGTGCTGTTTGGGGTATAAAGCTTTAAACCCGGCAGCTACTGTCCAAACTAAATACTGCCGTGATGAAACGCCATATCATGGATTATCAAGGATTATGTCTGAAACAGTATGGAGCTCAAAGGCTTTCTCTCTCGCCGGTTATACCACAAGGTGAGTTCCTTTTTATTTCCTGCTTCTTCACACACATGCTCTCCAGTATAGGTTAGCTCTGAGTGTTAGCGATGCTAATGTAAACATGCACCGACCATATTACGTCCAAAACAGTCGGGCATTGTTTCTGATAGCAACGTTTCTGATAGGGCCGTGGGTGTAAAGCCAGCCTACATTTCCGATATTACGTCATATCGGACGCAAATCTGGATCAGCTGCGTTGTAGCCCCGTTTTTAGAGATGTGGGTACGGAGGAAAAAAAGAGAGAGGGTTTTATTTTCTGACGCTGCGTGAGTTCCTCGACACACCGGGGACACATATTTATGTATAAAAGACATCAGGAAGTGCATTTTGCATGATAGGTCCCCTTTAAGAAACTCAAATTAGCTGCAGTGTTTACCTGAAACAGATGCGATGGTAGAGCTTGCCGTCCACCAGGAACCTCTGCACCAGGTGGACGTGTTTCTGGCAGGCGGCGCAGGTGCTGCTGAGCGTGCTGCGCTTCACCGCTGAAGCCGCTTCTACGCCATTTTCCTTAGGCTGGCTCTGTTAGTGTGAGCGACCCGGATGCAGGGGAAGGGGACGTCAGGGAAAGGGGGGAGATGGAAAGCAATGGGGGAGGGGGAGATCAAACACGGAGTCAGAATTTAAGGATGTGGATTGTTCATTTTTGTTGAACTAGCTACGTCTACTTGCCATCTACTGCTTATTGATTTGTGTGCTTCATTGCTGCATTTCCTGTTCAGTTTTAAACATGATTTAACACACATTTTACATAATGTCATAAAGAAATTATTAGTAAAAAAAGTCCAAACAGCTTGGGTTAGTGGCTTAAACAGTCCCATTTCTTTTGATATGATATTATTTTTAGGCATTTAGTTTTGTTTTTAAATTAGTATTTTAGTAAAAAACAAAAAGGGCGAGGGGGTTAGCAGCAGCGCATTCCCAAACTTGTGTTAGGATAGTACTACAGTTAGTATTTTCTTTTTGTACAAGAGATGGTTAAAAAAGACTGACCTAACTTTCACCTCCTAACCCACCCCCACCCCTAACCTACTGCCTGGACTCAGGAGAGAGAGGAGGGGGGCTCAGATGTGAGGAGGAACAAGAAGAGCAGGAAGAGGAGGGAGTGGAATGGATTTCCATCTGAAGAAGGGGGGGGTGGGGGTGGAAGTGGAGAGGGGAGGTTGCCAGTACATGGGAGTGTGGCGATGGAGGAAGGAAGGCATGCGAAAGAAAAGAGAGACAGGATACAGAGGCTATCTTTACAGACTGACGATACCTCTGGAGCTTTATTCCCCTGCTGTGCAACACAAAGCCCACACGAGGAAGTGGTAATTATAAAATACTTATGTGGTACATTGTTGTACTGCATCGGCAGGATGGGGTTTGTATTGTACAGATCTGATTACTTAATACCCCCGAATAGCACATGCAGAATTACATATAGAAAACCCAAGGCTCCAGATCCGATGTACTACAGAAAAAAGCGGTTTCAGTGTGATTATCCAGGCCTTTGAAGGACACCACAAATGAGATATTACTTAAAGAATACAGCTTGTTAACATGCAGCCCCAGTCGGGTATCATGCAGGAATAATGTAGTTCAGTAACGCAGTTGTTAAAAAGGCATTATGTATAAAAAAACAAATCATTATCAACACGTGCACAAGGTCATTTCTGTTTCTCCTGGCTCCAAGTCTTTCTCTTACCTCAGACTCGACCACTTTGTCTTCCAAAGGGGTGGGGGGCCTTTTCTGGGCGGGCTCATTTAGACCGACAGAGCTGAGCCTTTTCATGGAAGGGGGGTTTGCTGCGGAAAAAGGAAGTTATCCGTTATTTGATATAAACAAATTATATAAACTGTGGTCAGCCTCAAGTTGGATTTAAAATTGCATGTGAATCAAAACCAGGTTTATTGCCAGGCAGGATTTTGTTGTAAAAAAATTGCAAATAAAGACCTATTTATAAAAAAATACACATAAATATAGAAAAAAAGGTTAGAACAATTAAAAAAATGTTAAACAAATGAATCTGAAAAAGAAAATATGTGCATTATAGCACAAGTTAAAGCAGTTTTTTTCAATTTATTTTCAGTCAAAATCATCAACTTAAATTTGATCTGTGACAAATACGGTCAACATTTTTACATAATATGCATTTTATGTTCACATAGAATGAAGTGAGTCCAACTGAATTGACTGTAACCACCTTGAGACTTGTTGTTGAAGAAGTTGTAGTACTGGGAGACGTATGTGATGATGCTGAGCCGGTCAGGCACTTTCATGGACACCATGTCCTCTGGGTCCAACAGGGCCGGGATGCCCAGCTGAGTCTCCGCCACTTCAAACGCCTACGGTGAGAAAAAGACAGAGACAGGAAGCTGAGGAAGGGTCACCAGTGTTTTGACATGCATGCATACAATAAATAATAACTAAATAAAAGTAATTGGTGCTATTTTGGACCAAATAGGGGTGTAACCATCCATCAACATGGATTAATTCCAACGGTCATCAATTCACTAAAGCCATGTGACCCAACTTGTTTTGTGTTCAATTCAGACTAAGCAACAGACTCACATATTACTTATTAATCTTTCTACCTATATGTGGTCATTTGGTGAGATTGTTCTCACCTTTTAGACATGGCACTAAGAAGCTGCAATGGAAACTCTTCAAAATGAAGTCTGTTCATCATAAATGCCATAACCAGAAAGACACGTTACTGCTCAATCTACTTAATCATTATACTAAATCTAGGTATTAAGCTTTTGAAAGTTTCAAAACTTTGAAAAAAAATAAACTGATGAAACTGAGAAAATAATAATTTAACTATTGACTATTTGTTTTGTTGCAAAAAAAGATGCTTGCCATGACCAACCGACCATGGCATACCTGATGTCCTGAATAATCTAACTCTGCTGCCAAAGCATCAGCCATTTGCTGATAATGTCATGTTTTGTCCTTTGAGGATAACCATCAGTCTAATGAAAAATTCCACTGAAGAAATTAGACCGGCACTGAAGTTACATAACAGGGATACATCTGTTGGCAGTCACTCAACACTGAGATAATCCAGCCAACACTGTAAAATAACCTGGTTTACAGCTACAAATATGTTTTGCAATTTCTGTATATTAATGCTCAATACTAATAGTTTCACTTCATAGACTTCTTCCAGCTATCCTTGTTAGAAATGCCAAAAGGTACATTTTGTATGAACATATTTTAAGCAATAAGCAGATATCTTCATAAACACTGCCAAGGCACACAGGGGAGTAGGAACAGCATTTATGACACACTTTATTTCTGATTACTTTTTATACGATTGATGCTTTCTGATTAGTGGTCTCAGACATTCACTACAGTAATTGCAATGTGTAATGTGAGGTACAATGAGTGACTTTGGAACATTTCGGCCAGGTGAATGACGAGAGTGCCTTGGCTGATTGAAGGGGAACACACATACATGTCCGAGAAGTTGTACGGGTCTGGACATCACCTAAGTTGAGAGAAATTATGAAAAGCGTGAGTAAGACCTTTCTTTTCTCATCCTTTACACTGGTTGCACTGGCCGGGCAGAACCACAATCCACCTGCACACGCTCTGCCCTCTACATCAAGTAAGTCGCTATAGTGTGCGTTTTCCTTTTACAGATTAGTGGTCAAATAAATGCTGGTGTAAAATAAAAAATAATCTGGACGCTTTAACTGGGTTTGTATGTACCCACTTAGCACCGTGTTAAGTTTGCCCTAGGCGGTTACGGTAACTTGAAGTTATGGTTATTAAAAGGCTTTATGTCAAGTGTACCTCCAGGTGGCCTTCTCTTCCCTGAAGCGGAGAGATATACTTAACACTGCTGAAGAGCAGTGATACCTGACTGCCGAAACCCGGCCCACTATAACGGTTAAATAATCGCACTTAACGTGGTCATGTCAATTGTAACGGCATAAACGTGTATTAACATATGATTTAATTACTTGATCACAAAAAAAAATGACTTAATCGGCATAATAACTATAACAGCAGACCTACGGACCTATGTCCTACTGTCGCCAAACTCTCATTTAGTCCCACGTTTATTATAAAACTTATAGACACCGACTTACTAACACAAAGTGGACCACGGTTGACACAACAGAGGAGGAGGGAGTGGACACAAATTAACGAGGTGGGAGTGGACACAGATTAATCAGACTCTCTCTCTCTCTTCTCTCTCCTCTTCTCTCTGCTCCCTCTCTCTCTCTTCTCTCTCTCTCTCTCTCTCTTCTCTCTCTCTCTCTCTCTCTCTCTCTCTCTCTTCTCTCTCTCTCTCTCTCTCTCTCTCTCTCTCTCTCTCTCTCTCTCTCTCTCTCTCTCTTCTCTCTCTCTCTCTCTCTCTCTCTCTTCTCTCTCTCTATCTCAGTATGTCCCTAGATGAAATTTGTACAAACTGGGAGAAGGTATATTACGACAGGATTGGAACAACAGTCAGAAGTGACATCAACGCGTGTAATGACGATTGACATCAGAGAGTTACAAACTCCTATGAAATAATTCAATGACTTTGTACAGCCAAAGTGAAGGGAGGTGATGAACGAATGTAATACAGTGACCAATGGTACTTGATAAGGAGAAAACAAATCTAAAGGTATTAGAAAACACCTTAGTAGTAAGTATAAAATTTATAATATTAACGAAAATATATTTTTGTTTCATAACGGTCACACTTATATTTTCATTTTTACACAAATTACTTGAAGTTACGTCGAATAGAGATTTACGACCGATCGAAAAGGCAATTGAATGTTGACAGGACGGCCTAAGTCCAACTTATAGTTCTACTTAGGCCGTCGTCCTCAGTTACCTTAAATCCCGAACTTTAGATAAAAATTTTCAGGTAAAAACCAAATACGTAAACCTTGACTTCATACCTATTTGGACATAAAGGATCAACTTACGTTTTTTCGTTCGGTAAATTGGAATAAGAACTTAAGGGGGAATGTAAATTTTGTTTCCAGAGTAGAGGGTTATCTTTGTGGGACACAAAGGGTTTCCAGGTGAACGTACTTCAATTTCAGAAACAACCTCCAAAGTACTTTCGTTCCAGTCCAACTAGGGTCTGTCCGGCACGACCAGGCTGGACGAAGAGACACAAGGAAAACCACCTTGAGACTGAGTGTCCACGTAGGACGAAACCCTGATTAACGTTTCTCTCGTTTTACAAGTCAATTATCAGGTATGTGATTCTCTNCGGGCTGCGACCAAGTCTGACAGACTGAGCAGCCAATGGGGGTCTCTTACTCAGATCCGGCCGGCCGTTCTGATTGGCTAAAGCTAACCTTGCGAGGTGATGTGTACAAACCAAGGCCCCAGAGTTACTTCCTAATTTGTAGGATCCAGGAAGCAAGGTGCTGTGACACTCTGTGCACCTGAGATAACACAGACACAGGACAGTGAGATCAACAAGAGGTCATAAAGAATGTTGAGATATAAAGCTACAAAAGATTAAAAACATAGGCAAATCGGTCAACATTATACAGACAGAAATTCCTGTTATCTAAATTCACACTAAATGAGGCGTGAATGGTTGTTACTTCTTCTGGGTCACATTCAAATCATTCAGCTGGTGAAACATGAGCAAGGTTACTCATGATATAATGGAAAAAGGTCAACTATAAAATAATGCTTGTTTGTTTGTCAGCTTCTCTGTAAATAGATACCACAGTAGCTCTTATTGTAGTATTAACTTACACTAGCCGTTATGACCACTGACTGCAGGTGTTGCCAAATCAACCAGGACTAAAATAATGACGATAATCACCTTAAAGGTCACCTATCATGCTATTTTTAGGCAATAGCATAGGTCTCAGATATATAAAAATATATAAAAAACATGTCTATGAAGTGTTTTGCTCAAAATACCAAACAGATCACCCATTCTAGCCATGCCTCATATCCCTCCATTTCACTTCCTGTTTCAAAAGTGCTGATTTGGGGTATAAAGCTTTAAAAAAAAAAAAGAAAAAAAAAAAGAGGTGTCTGAGCTCATGCGGGACGGGTAGCTACTGTCCAAACTAAATACTGCCGTGATGAAACGCCATATCAAGGATTATCAAGGATTATGTCTGAAACAGTATGGAGCTCAAAG